TGTATTAACACAGAGGAGAGCCGTAGTTCCTGTATTAACACAGAGGAGAGCCGTAGTTCTTGTATTAACACAGAGGAGAGCCGTAGTTCCTGTATTAACAAAGAGGAGAGCCGTAGTTCCTGTATTAACACAGAGGGGAGCCGTAGTTCCTGTATTAACACAGAGGAGAGCCGTAGTTCCTGTATTAACACAGAGGAGAGCCGTAGTTCCTGTATTAACACAGAGGAGAGCCGTAGTTACTGTATTAACACAGAGGAGAGCCGTAGTTACTGTATTAACACAGAAGAGAGCCGTAGTTCCTGTATTAACACAGAGGAGAGCCGTAGTTCCTGTAGAAAAAACCACCGACCTACGACCAGTACACATACCGGGCGACTGCCCATCGTATAGGACTCGAACCCGCGACCCAGCGGTGGAGGTCTATATTAGCAGAATGTCAGACGCCTTAACCACTCGACCAACGCGGCACCTTGTTTTAGTTTTCAGCATGTGATATATCAACAGGTAGGAACGTTTTGGGGAGAACAAGACATTTATATATGAAAAAAATATTAGACAAACCATCGATCCGTTTTTGCATCCATCTGATATATGACTATTGAAGGTTTATACTTGATATATAGATAAATAGAAAATCCATCCCTGCAGTTCGGGGATCGAGAAGAATACACCTGCTATTTCCCAATGCATGTAAGAGGAGACTAACACAGGAACCCTGCATTAAATATATGAAAATTATATTAAAAATATAAAATCTATAAATATGATAACCCTCCACACATTCAAGGTAAATAATGTCTATTAGGATTCTCTAAAAATATTGTTTAAAGATTACAAAATAACCACCTGTGTCCTTGAAAGTACGACAAGGGCTTCACCAGACAATAATACTAAATCTAATATTAAACAAGCTAAATGTCATCATCCTAGTCATCTTACAGCAATGCGGCTGCTCAAAACAATTGTGTACCATATCATCAAGAAAGTCAGTTAGTACAATGTATCATAATGATTTTATAAGGGAGTGTAACACCAGTGAGGAGGGTTAAACCAGTGAGGAGGGTTACAATAGTGAGGAGGGGTACACCAGTGATGAGGGTTACACCAGTGAGGAGGGTTACACCAGGGATGAGGGTTACAATAGTGAGGAGGGTTACACCAGTGGGGAGGGTTACACCAGTGTTGAGGGATACAATAGTGAGGAGGGTTTCACCAGTGAGGAGGGTTACGCCGGTGAGGAGGGTTACACCAGTGTGGAGGGTTACAATAAGGAGGAGGGTTACACCAGTGAGGAGGGTTACACCGGTGAGGAGGGTTACACCAGTGTGGAGGGTTACAATAAGGAGGAGGGTTACACCAGTGTGGAGGGTTACACCAGTGGGGAGGGTTACACCAGTGTTGAGGGTTACAATAGTGAGGAGGGTTTCACCAGTGAGGAGGGTTACACCAGTGAGGAGGGTTACACTAGTGAGGAGGGTTACACCAGTGAGGAGGGTTAAACCAGTGAGGAGGGTTACAATAGTGGGGAGGGTTACAATAGTGAGGAGGGTTACACCAGTGATGAGGGTTACAATAGTGAGGAGGGTTTCACCAGTGAGGAGGGTTACACCGGTGAGGAGGGTTACACCAGTGTGGAGGGTTACACCAGTGAGGAGGGTTTCACCAGTGATGAGGGTTACACCGGTGAGGAGGGTTACACCAGTGATGAGGGTTACAATAGTGAGGAGGGTTTCACCAGTGAGGAGGGTTACACCGGTGAGGAGGGTTACACCAGTGTGGAGGGTTACACCAGTGAGGAGGGTTTCACCAGTGATGAGGGTTACACCGGTGAGGAGGGTTACACCAGTGATGAGGGTTACAATAGTGAGGAGGGTTTCACCAGTGAGGAGGGTTACACCGGTGAGGAGGGTTACACCAGTGTGGAGGGTTACACCAGTGAAGTAACATGTTTGGTATCACGTTCATCATGTAACGTTAGTGTCATGGCTACCATAGAATCATATAAACAGACAATCACCTGCGTGTGTATTACGTTCATCCTGTAACGTTAGTGCCAATGTTACCATAGGAATATATACACAGACAATCACCTGCGTGTGTATTACGTTCATCCTGTAACGTTAGTGCCAATGTTACCATAGGAATATATACACAGACAATCCCCTGCGTGTGTATTACGTTCATCCTGAAACGTTATTGTCAAGGCTAACATAGGACCATATACACAGACAATCACATGTGTGTATTACGTTCATCATGTAACGTTAGTGTCAAGGCTACCATAGGACCATATACACAGACAATCACCTTTGTGTATTACGTTCATCATGTAACGTTAGTGACAAGGCTACCATAGGACCATATACACAGACAATCACATGTGTGTATTACGTTCTTACTGTAAGGTTAATGCCAATGCTACCATAGAACCATATAAACAGACAATAACCTGTGTGTATTACGTTCATCATGTAACGTTAGTGACAAGGCTACCATAGGACTATATACACAGACAATCACCTGTATGTGTATTACGTTCATCCTGTAACGTTAGTGCCAAGGCTACCATAGGACCATATATACAGACAATCCCCTGTGTGTATTACGTTCATCATGTAACGTTAGTGCCAAGGCTACCATAGGACCATATATACAGACAATCACATGTGTGTATTACGTTCTTACTGTAAGGTTAGTGCCAATGCTACCATAGAACCATATAAACAGACAATCACCTGTGTGTGTATTACGTTCATCCTATAACGTTAGTGCCAAGGCTACCATAGGACTATATACACAGACAATCACCTGTATGTGTATTACGTTCATCCTGTAACGTTAGTGCCAAGGCTACCATATAACCATATAAACAGTCAATCACCTGTGTGTATTACGTTCATCATCTAACGTTAGTGTCAAGGCTACCATAGGACCATATACACAGGCAATCACCTGTGTGTGTATTACGTTCATCATGTAAATTTAGTGTCAAGGCTACCATAGGACCATACACACAGACAATCACCTGTGTGTATTACGTTCATCATGTAACGTTAGTGTCAAGGCTACCATAGAACCATATAAACAGACAATCACCTGTGTGTATTACGTTCATCATGTAAGGTTGGTGCCAAGGCTACCTACCATAGGACCATATATACAGACAATCACCTGTGTGTATTACGTTCATACTGTAACGTTAGTGTACAGGCTACCATAGAAACAAATACACAGACAATCTCGTTTGTATATTACTTGGTGTAAATTTTATGTTTAACTCTGTATAAAGATATCAAAAGCTTTCATCCGGTTTATGTATAACGAGCGTTTTAAGAATTGTGTCTCGTCATGGTTTCTAAGCACGTGAACACACCTGTACACCATGTACCGGAGAGACCTGTAGCGTGTACACTTTGGGCAGTTATGCATTCTTCTTTTGTTGCAAAAATGAGAGAGATTCATTTGCATACACAACACATAAACGATTCGCGATTTACCACTTCATAAAAAGACTTCATTGTTGAGTAGGTTAGCATTGACCAGGGCTCCTCTATCCTGTACCTATCCAAGACACAAACAATTTGGTAAAGAATTGTTTCGTTAAAGGTGTTTTAGGTTAGTATTGCCTCCTATGGCTGGCCGTCCAGCCGTACAGGTGAACATATTCATTATTGACAGCAGGGGAAAAAAAACTACATCACGAAATAGTTTAAACGCCTAAAGGAAACAGAGGCATTAGACGAAAGCCACGTTGCACTTTTATAAGTAAGACCTAGATGACCGTAGTTTCACAGAAGTTATGGTAATATTACCGTGATTCCCCTAGTAACAACAGCATTATAGTAAACCCACGTTTTACATATAGACGTTATGGTAATATTACCGTAATTCCCCTAGTAACAACAGCGTTATAGATAAACCCACGTTTTACATATAGAAGGTATGGTATTAATACCATGATTCCTCGAACACCAACAGCGTTATAGGAAAACCACGTTTTACATATATAAGTTATGGTAATAACAGCGTTAGACAAAATATTGAAGTAACAATACAGTTACCGTAATGTCCCGAGTAACAACAACATGAGAGGGAAACCATGTCAAATAAGTTATGATGTTATGTTATCACAAAGGGTTTAATAACAGTGGTGTCAGAGAAAATGTTATAGCTTACCGTAATGTTTATAAAAAGCGTTACATTAAAGGATGACCGCGTAAAAATGTTTAATTTTGCTGAAATGTCTGTAGAAGATACAGTACAGAAAAACGTGATTGTATCAATGTAGGACAGATTACTGTAATATTCCTATTTACAGCTACAGATGGATTACAGTCTGTACCATACAAGTTCTGTGTACAGGTACATGTACACGACAGATATATATATACAAAGGTTCAACCGGGCTCACCTTTGATTCGATGTGGCTAGAGACTTGAACATCTCAAATTTCTCGAGCAGTAATACAAATGTAGCTTTCACGTTGTTTAGCGTATTTCTTTAGTTTTGCATTTAACCGGAAAAAAACATCCCACTGAGCGCAATGTCCGCAATACAAATCTACTCCAATTGTACTCTGAACAAGGAAATGTAGATAAAACTAGTATGTTTCATTTTTAAGTCAATCATATTACATGTGTATCAAATACATCGCCAGGTATTCGTCATTATTGAATGTTAAACTTGTACAAAATACATGTTGCCACGTCATTACTGCACGTGATATCATGACCACGTGCTTATACACTATAAGACGACGAGAGCTTTAGGAAACGACGTACATGTATGCTAAGCAGTCTTAACTCTTAGCGAATCCTAAGTGTTTCCTTTCCATTAGATGAAAATGTGTAATTTTCTAACATAGAGAGATGTATAGCATATATACGTCTCTGATCAACATAGAATATACATAACATTAATTTAGATTATATAGTTGTTCTTGACTATATTATATATTTGTTTAACTAATAATTAAGGTAACCGTGCTTTAGAATGCACGACTCCGGGTCAGGTCGTAGACACTATCAAATAGTGTAAGTCCATTAGAAACAGGGGTGTCCAGGTGGCGCAGTGCCCGCTTAAGGTACTTCCTACAGGGTTATGTCGCTGTATATAGTTTGTAATGGGTCCATAACTTTCCCCAAAACGAATTTTAAAAGTATGAAGTTGGTTCGTATACTCATGTAAAGAACAATGTCAATAATTACCTTTGCAGAAATTATTTGTTATTATTGACATTGTTTTTGACATACATGTACATTATAGGTATACCAAGCAACTTCCACATTGTTTTCATTTTGAGAATATGCTTAAGCATTGAACTGTTTTTGTATGGCGTATTGACGCGTGCTGATTGGCAAACAAAGTAGTACTTTGAAATTTTAACAAACACTTCAATTTTATTCAACAATTCAGTATCAATACAATTGCGTATGATATGTCTATAGGGTGATTTAAGTTTATCAATAGAACTCTGAGCTGAAAGTTAGATTTGAAATTGTTTCGATTTTTCCCCGGAACAAATTTCGCGCATGGACAAATACAGTGAACACCGTAAATCCGACCTTGCCCTCCACGAGGGAGTTATTTTTGGAAGTTAATTCGAACTTTTCTCTTTGCTCATTTTGTGAAGAATCCAGGCGTGAATTTATTTGTTGATTGTATGGGAACCTGACAACAGTCGGTAGATTCTATAACAGCCTCGTTATTTGACATGTCGTCAGAAACTGAGGAACCGTGGATGCGAGACGCGTGAAACTGATAGCGTTTGAAGTGAGTGATCTTGCGACGGAGCACAGGTTCGTTACAAATGTCTGAAATGTTTATGTGTGCTGTGACTCATATCAGTAGGTCTGTAACATATGTGTCAGTAGGTCTATAGAATATGTGTATTTCAGACATTTGTAACGAACCCCTGTTGATCAGTGCAGTGTAACAGACGATATTTCTGATAAATTGCATGAGCGTTAACATTGTTTCCATTGCCGGCATTGGTGATTTCAACCGATGTGCATTTTGTACGATATTGCAGACCTTGGTCTTGTTTTCGCTGTAATAAAAGTTTGTTTTTTTGCACATAAATTTACAATGACATTGTCAAATCTCACAATGCCCAGCGATATTTCAGCAGCCGTCATGTTTATTTATATTGGATATTGTAGTTCCGGTCAGTGTTGTATTAATACGCTAAGACTTGTGTCTCGTGATGCATAGTAATTAAAATATAAAGTCCCATCAACGACACAGCTTTCAAAGAGGCTATATATACTGACATGTTAACACTCTGGAATACCTAGATCATGGATGCGTGACCGCCAATGGACCGCAGATCAATATCAGTGTGAGGGTCATGTCGGATCAGTCTTACGCGTCCCGTGGTATGTTGACGGATCTCGCCAAGTACCCGTGTACTACGAGATCCTCAATCAATTGAAAAGCGGGCTTCCGGTTACTGTAAATAGTAATCCCCTAATGACCCTGGTAGGGGGCAACGTGGCGGGGTATGGGGAGGATATCGGGGAGACCCGTACTATCACCTCAATATAGAGGGTTCTCCTTCCAAGGATGGCATCCTAGTACACACACACACACACACACAACACACACACACACACTCATACATGTATACTTATATATATACATGGGCGGCTTCGTGATACAACTATACGTTGGCCATTTTAAACCCCAGCGCAACAGGTATAATTGATTTTAAATACGAACATGTGTATAATATATGTTGTTAAGCTGCAATACTCATTGATCAATAGCTCCCACCAGTACACAACGACGTAAGGAATGGAGATCGGGAATCCCCGCCAGGTACACTGATTGGA